CATTTAAGAGAGAAAATAAAAAAAAAACATACAAATATGTAAAGAGAGAAGAGTTTGAAAGAAAAGATACCCAAGAGCTACTATTCTCCTTCTAATCACCAATGAATTTTGTTGGATGTTCTCTATGATTTACTTTCTTTTTCTGTTTTTCTATCACTCTCTTGTTTTCTCAATGGTTTTTTCTCTCTCAAATCTCTTTTTTCTTCTTAATGAATGTTCTCAATGTTTCTCCATCTCTCTTTTTTTTTTGTTTTTCTCCTCTTCTCTTGCTCTCCAACCCCCCCCCCCCTTTTTCTTACTTCTGCTCCCCTCCTTCTAGTCAAACAATAGGGTTTCTTTCACTTGTTTGCTACAGAATCTTTTCATTGGGATATGCTTCTCATCACTTTCTTGATGCCAATCCCAATTCTTTCAATTTCCATGAATCCTGCCTTGCTGTATTTTTGCTGCTGCACTTTGTCTTGTTCCCAAACCTGAACCCATTTGTTTGCTTATGCTTGGACTACCCTTGTGGTCCAAGTTTCTACCTTTGACAACATTTCAAAATTCTGATATTTAGATGCATCATTATGGGTTTATTGCTTTGGTTTTGTGACATGAATTGTTTGGTTATGAGGCAATTTGTCACTTCTTGCATGGAAATGTTTTAGATCACATTAAAATTGCCTATGACTAAGCATGCATAGTCTTGATCATGAAATGTTCCAATGTTAAGTTGAATCTTAATTATTTTCCTTAGATGTTTGTAGGCAAAATGAGGAACATGTGGACTTGATGGAGAATGAAGGGTACCATAGCATGAAGTTGATTAGAAACTTGAATTAAGATTAGAAATAGCTTAGTTTTCTAAGCATTACTTAGAGTTAGAAACTTTGTAACAAATGTGACATTCTTGTAATGTCATGAAATTTCCCTTTGTAATATTCTTGAATCTAATCTTAAAACACCAAGGTTTGCAGCAAAATATTGATTATGCATCATATCATGCCAAGCTAGAACCTTGAGTTTCAAGTCTTTGGACCTCAACTTCTTCTCTTCGAAACTCCTAAGTATTTTTGAAGTGGAGTGAAAAATGAAGGAACAAAGCTTACCTTGAAAAATTCTAAGTGTTTTTGAAATCCTTCCACACTTTGAAGCTTCATAACTCAAGATCTAGGCATCTTTTGCTTAGAGGTCACTAGTACACTTTTGTAATATATGAGGATATATACAAATTGATCTTTGGAACTCAAAATGGATATGTGGATTGGAAGTTATGGCCTTTCAAAGTTGGTACCAAAATTAGGGTTTTCCATACTTAGAAAAATTTCAAGTTTATCTAAGTTTTCTTCCTTTGCAAGAAACTTATCAAATCTTGATTTCTCATGATCAAACTCACTGATTGAACATATTGTGATGAAATTTGGCTTGGATGCTCCAATTTGAACCAAAAAACCTAAAAGTCAAAGAGTTGACTTTGCCAGATGGATTTTGAATCAGATGAATTCAACTGTGTGATCTTCAATAGATTTGCCTCTTGGGACTTCTCAAACATCATAGGTAGGCTACAAATATGTATATGAACATGTTGAATCATGTCCCAAGGCTTGGGATCATGCTTGGACTAAAAGTCAAAGGCACGGTTGAATTTTCCTGACAAAACTCTAATTTGGGGTCAGATGAAATTGGGCTTCAATTGACTTGTAGTGAGATCAACTTGCCCTTGATTCTTGTTGAATATATGCTCCTTAAATTTATGGGAATTTGATTTGATGATGACTAATCCAAAACTTTGACTGATCAAGCAATAGTCCTCTTGATTCCCAAGGTGCAAAACCCTAATATAGATAGATCTTAACAACAAAAACTTGAAACAAGGTTAGGGTTAGGAAACAATGCTTGATGCTCCTAGAATGATAATGGAATCTAGGGATCAAAATTTAGGGTATGACAGAGCAGATTTGGTTTCAGTTTTCTGCACTTCTCTTGGTGGAGTGTCTTTTTGCATCTCATAAGCATCACTACATTGCATCCTCAGAATGCGTAGCATTTCAATTTGAGGCATAAGCCAGGTTTGATACCCTCTTTTCCAAACCTTTTCCCAGCAAAAAGTGGTGTAACTCATGAGAAATCGTTTAACTTTATCCTTAAGCACGCGCTCTAACCAATTTGTAGGGTCATAGATTCGTCGATCTTACCCTTTGATTGTCTTTGTTCCCTAGCAGATTCATCTGTCTAGGATTTCATTATCCCCTCAAAGTTATTTAGCGATTAATTCTTACCTCTTCCACCCATCGTTCAGGTGTTAAATGTGTAAATCTCGATGTTTTCGTAAGGCTCGATCTCAGCTGACACTCATCCATATTTGTTTTTGATTTATCAATACTTCGTTTGTATTAATCTTAGACTTTAGACACTCGTCATGCTCTTCAAAACTCATCCGTGTTTGTTTCATTCTCATCAATACTCGTCTATATTGATCCTAGATTTTTAGACACTCGTCGTGATCTTCAACACTTGTTCGTATTTGTTTCATTCTCATCAATACTCGTCTGTATTGATCCTAGATTTTTAGACACTCGTCGTGATCTTCAACACTCGTTCGTGTGTTTCATTATCATCAATACTCGTCCGTATTGATCCTAAATTTTTAGACACTCGTCGTGATCTTCAATACTCATTCATGTTTGTTTCATTCTCATCAATACTCGTCTGTATTGATCCTAGATTTTTAGACACTTATCGTGATCTTCAACACTCGTCCGTGTTTGTTTCATTCTCATTAATACTCGTCGTAGTGATCCTAGCTTTTTAGACACTCGTCTGTATTTTTTTAAGTTTCATCAATACTCGTCTATATTGATCCTAGATTCTTAGACACTCGTAGTGCTCTTCAACACTCGTCCGTGTTTGTTTCAGATTTATCAATACTTCTTCCGTATTGATCTTAGATCTTAGACACTCGTCGTGATCTTTCAAAACTTGTTGTGTTTGTTTTAGTTTCATCAACACTCGTCCGTATTGATCTTAGACTTTCATTGTTACTCTCAACGCTCGTCTGTGTTTATCCCCGGTGTAATTGTCACTCGTCCGTGTTAATTTCTGTTTTATCAATACTCCGTCCATATTGATTTCCCAACTCCTGTTTGCATTGAGTATTTAGTTTCTATTACTCAATTTCCATCAGCGATTTTGTTAGTTGTATTCCTTAGAGGAGTCGTTTATTCCCCTGCAGAGTGCAAATTGTACGGTTCTTTTAGTATTCAATATCCTTTTACCTCTAATGTTTGAAAGCTATTGCTTTCATACCTTCAGGTTAAAGTTGATTGAATAGGGACAGTTGTTGTACCTCAAAATTTGCCCTCATCCTTTCTAACCCAAACTGGCTGTTGCTTCACAATCATATGCATTTGTCCATTAGGTCATACATTCACAAACACTCATGTGCATAAGATTCTAAGGCATGGAATCCAGGCCTTCTGATCAATCAAAGTTTCCTTTTGGGTTGAGGTTTTCTACATCATTGAAGATTAATTTAATTGGTCTTTTCATGGATTTTGGAATTCAGGTTCGAACTATCATCATGAGCGTCTTTTTATCAAGGTTCATCAAGTATCAAAGCCTCTTCCTTCAAGATTTCACAGAAGTCAGTGTACATGAGAATTTGGTTTTTCTTTTCATTGGGGTTGAGCATGGGCATTTGAAGACTGATTAGGATTTCATGGCAAGTTGCATTACAAGTTATATCCTTATTTCTAGGGATTTCTCAAGACATGGTTCTTAAGCTAAGATCATCATCACGTAAAGGATTGTTTTGATTTCATTAAGTCAAGATGTTTCTTGTTGATTAAATTATGGATCAAGATCTCATTAGAGGGAGTGTGATTAATTTGTTATTAAGGTTAAGGAGGCATCAAGTATCTTGGGCATTTATTTTGGCTAAAGAATTGGATTTTAGTTTGTGTGATTTTCTTAGGATTCAAGTAACGAGATGGATTATTCGAGTTCATCATCACTTAATGTCCATTTTCAATTTGTCATTATCCACCTTTCTTAACCATTTCCATTATCCATTTCCATAAACCAGTTTTTCTTACCTATTCTCCTAAACCAGTTTCCAAAATCCATCTTTACATATCAATTTTTAACTAAAAATCCATAGTCATTTTAACCATTGTAAAATTCATTTCAATTCAAATCCACATTTTTAAATCCATATTCAAAATTCCATTTTTCTAAATCCAAGACCTATGCCCATTTTAAACCAAACTGAGGCAAAAGAAAGAGAAATAGCAATAAACATCACACTTTCACCAATTTCAAACAATGTTTTATAGATGGAATACATAGTTGTGTGATGTTGTTGGAGACTATGCGTGTGGTACCATTTAGTGGAAACAGTGAAAAACGTTTATTCATTTCAATGAAGAACTTGTCATAGAGCTAGTAGTTGCTGTCAAAAGATAAACTTATATACTTAGTGCCATACGAATTAAAATTCTTAGAATGAGGAAGAATAAAGTGTTACGACTATTCCTTATAACAAATATATGATCCACACCCAAGTACACTACTTTGAAGCCTAATTCAAGAAAGTAGCTACTTATTACATGAATGGCAAATAAAAGAAGAAAAATAATTAATTCAAGAAACAAATTGGCTTTGAGAGTCAGCAACACGAGAGACATAGTATCTAGCAAAGAAATCTGAAGCTTTCAACCATCCCAATATTAATCTTTGTTTTACTATCATAGGGCGTGTATATGGATCCTTTGTGATGAATAATAAGAAAGCTCATAAAAAGCAGCACGAATGTGTTCTCGCCCTCTACTCTATGAACGGACGCAGAGCAGTTATTCTCCCCTAGCTGAAGTAGAGAAGATAACTCGAACAATGGCAGCCAAGACCAAGCTCTCAAAATGATAACATTTGAGTAGCATGCTCACTTGCCTTGAAAACACGCATCTATTCATCCTTGTCGACATGGAGCAGTGATGAAGAAAATCATTGATGTGTTGATTTCAACTCGGTAGCTTCAGCAATAGACCGAGACGGTAGCTGAAAGATTAAGTATAACATGAGCCAACCAAATAAAAAAGGAAATCACGCAATCTTTAACAGCATGGAAATAGAAAATTTGAACCATACAGGAAGTCATGACACAATTCAAACTATTTTCAGTACACCAATTAATCAGAAGGCATTTCGCAATTAGGAAGAATCATTTCAAGCAACAAAATACAATATCGCTTCAATCACCAAAAAATCCAAACTTTCACACGTTCAGGTGAGCAAGATAAGCAGTGTTTCGCAAATGTTATGAGTGTGCACCTGAACATACAAGGATGAAGGACATAGTTGGTGTTGGAGACTTCTTGGAACAATGGGCGTTGTGGGCTTTTGTTTGAGTTGTGATGATGTTGAAGAATAATATCATGTATAGGGACTACGTACGCATCGATATTCCGAAGAGGTGAAGCACAGGGAACGGCATCCATGAATTATACAGCCTCACTCAATAATTCTCTATTGGACATGTACCATTCTCTTCCAGGGACCTTACCACAGCTTTGCACCGTATAGAACATGTCGCAGTCTCATGTTGATAGAAACAATTCACGCTGTACGCAAACCTGTCCAAAACAAAGCCAAGTTCATATTATATCAAAAGGTTCAAAACCAACATTTATACTTAGTCCAGCAAGTAATGGTGGAGGATATAGTTATAATGCGTAGAGATAGAAGTTGTTCAGGTGGATGCACGCCTAACTCTTCTTGGGAAATTGGCAAGGCCTTGTTTCTCTCTGCTGAACAAGCTGAGTACCAAATATCCACTAGTCCAGAATCACATCAAGTAAATGGCCCTACAATACCTGTGCAAAATCTCCGCATCAAAGAGCCATAAAATGTGAAATTAAATTCAGAATCACAACTTAATGATCAATATTGACGGATTAAATCAAAATAGAGAAATTCATGGAAAGAAATGCGGTTATGGAAAGTTTTGTCAAAACGGAAACAAATCATCACCATCAATCAAGCATTCACAAAATCTCCGAATTGAATCACAAAAAGGGAAATAATCGACAGATTTTTGAATTATCAAATCAGCAAAATCAATTTCGAAATCAAGAATTAATGCACATTTCCTATAAAAACTATCCCTCTCATTCACACCGGGGCATGAGTGGAATATACGAATTAAGGGACGCAAAAAATCAGAACAAAACATACACACATGATTTCGAGAGAACTACCAGAGTAGATTGAATTGGAAAACACACAAATCACATTCAGAGATTATTCAGAGATTTGCACAAGTATTACAACACACACGCATAGAACACGCATACACGAACTGAGGGAGATACACATAGATGAGAGGAAGCACAAAATTGAGAAAGAAGATACATCACATACAAACACGCACAAAGAAGCAGTAGCAGTGAGAACAAATGCCACGGATATGAATTCACAATAATACGATAACAACGTGAATTAAAGAGGACAATAGCAACAATGTCACAATAACATCACAGTGGCAGCGCAGAATTGTAAAGAAGGTAGGAGGTGAAGAAAAAGGTTACCTTCGAAGTCGTCGTGTTGAAACCGCCGCATTGATACTCTTCAGAGGTACGTAATCTCCTATTTAAATTGAACCAATTCTCACTCCAATTTCACGATGTAATTGCAAGTTCAATCTAAAATCGGGGCTGAGGTTTGTGGTTGATTAAAATTGACGGTAATGGCGAGGAAATTTCGAACTAAGGCGACTGTTAACATGTTGGCTCTTGTGCTGAAGCAACAATGGTGGCGATGCTCGCCCGACCGCTGTCGTGTTGCTCGCATTGATGTGAGGAAATAAGGGTGAGAAGAAAGTTGAGCGAGAGAGGGGAAAGGGAAGTACAGTGCGAATTGAGAGAGAAAGAGGTTTGATTTTGTTAAGCTCATCACAATTGGAGTTTTTGTTTTTGTACAATTGATTGGAGAACTAATTTCAAGGATTAATATACTGGAATAGGTTTTTGCCGACACTTTGAAGTTCTTTTAATTTTGAAGTTCTTTTAATTTTCAATAAAATCTTTTTTTCTCTCAATCCTTATCTGTGATATCTTGTTTGCTTAATTCAATTTATCTTAGGGTTGATTGATTTATTTTGATGATTGCATGTTCTTATAATTTATTTGTGTTTGCTTAATTCACGTATGTTTCTCGTGTTTGCTTAATTCACTGTTGTTATATCTCATCTGTTTCCTTAATTTTTAATTCGGTTTCCTTAATTCGGAAATTAGGAACATGTATCATATAATATCAATTGCGCTTATTTACTTGTTATTATAACCGAAAAGCGGATAGAGTCTGCTTAGGAATTGTTATTAACCGTTTAAGCTTATTTTGACAATCACTTATTTGCACTATTTTTCTTTTAATCGAAATTCAACCTCCCCATAAACCGTTATTGTGTTGGTTAGTAACTTTACAATAATCCTTGTGAGAACGATACTCGAGTTGTCGTTATCGTTACTACTGTTTTAAAAAATACTTGTTTTTTATCTGTGCGCGACAGCAGATCAAATTGGCGCCGTTGTCGGGGATTCTTCTTGATTTTAACCAATTTTAAAATTTTGTTAGAGTTTTTTGTTTTTGTGTGTTAATTTTCAGAGTTGAAGTTCCTTGGTAAACATTTCAGCCTATCAAGTAAGTTGAAAACTACTGTTTCGATTTGCTCTGAATTCTTTCCAGAAAATCAGAAGAAAAAAATCGACGAACAATACTCTTTTACAATAATATTTTCTAAAAGATTTTGACCCTGAAAATCGCAAATTTCTTATTTTCCTATTTTATTTGATTTTTTTTCTATTTTCTATTTTCATGTTTTCAAAAAAATCCAAAATTTTTTGTAAAGAGTTATTATGATTTTATTTGATTTTTAGTAATATTTTGATTATTTTTAGATTTTATTTTATTCGTTTTTCTATTTTTTATTTCTTTTTCTTAATAGGGACATTGTCAGTATTTTTTTAATTGTTGTTGCATTGCTGAATTAGTTTTGTGTGTTTCTCATACTTTCTTAATTTTTTTCTTTTTCAATAACATGGTTGAACAAAGAACTAATCAATTTCGTTCACTAGAGGACCTTGTCAAACAAATGGTTATAAATGATATCCAGTTTCAGCAACGAACAAATTCTAGTATCTAGGCTTTGCAATCACATATTGGACAGCTTGTCACTTTAGTGAATACCATGCAGCAAGCTCAAGAATCAAACCAACTACCTGCCCAAACAGTAATGAATCCAAAAGAGTTTCCTTATGATTTAGTTGATGATATTTATTCTGAATTGTGTTATGATTTTCTATCATTAGTAGATTTTGATGATATTTACTCTTGTGATTCATGTATCAACACTAACATTTGCTCTGTTTATGCTGAAATTAATGTTGCCGTGCAGGGCGATGTTTTTCATGTAGATGAAATTATAGATGAAGTTGTTTATGCAACTGAAGCTCTTGACATCACGGCTGCCTCAACCTCACCATCCATTGAACAACCTATCCCCTTAGAGCTTAAACCACTTCATAACAATCTGAATTATGCTTATTTAGATATGGATGAAAATTTTCCAATTATAATTTCTTCTAACCTTGATTTTGATAAAGAAAATAAACTTTTGTAGGTTTTGAAGAAACATAAGAAGGGAATTGGATGAACCTCGATCGAAGATGGAAGAAAATTAGTGAGGCAACCCTTTAATTCGCTGATTCTTAATGTTATGAAAAAAGAGATCACATTCCGTGTCAATGCGACACTTTTACTTATCGAAGATTCTTCTTTGATCCTGGAATAAAAGGCGAAGGAACTAATAAATATTTCAAGGTCAATAGATGCTACCCAAAGTCATTTTATGACATCCCCACTTTGAGAGAGGAGCCTGTAGAAGATCTCTCTTTAAGAAATGCTGCTTATGTGATCACATATCCGCCTTGACTCTTAGGGTGTGTTATTTTCTTTTTCTCACTCTTATTTAATAGTTATGTCCTTTCATTGAGGACAATACATATTTTAAGCAGGCTCGGGTGGGCTTTTGAAGGCCATCAACCCGCATATCCCCACGTACCTAGTTCTTAACACCCTTAAGTCAATTTTTGAACTCCCATTTTCCTTTAGTAATCTTTTGATTAATTATGATTAGTTTTTTTTAATTAATTTAGGGTAATCTTTCGTTTAACTTTAATAAGCTCTGACTAACTGTTGATTTCATATTTAACTTTTGATTTTTAATTTTGATTAAATTTCATATATTTTTTATCTACTTTTAATTTTAATTTCGATTTCAATTTATAATTAGAATTTTAATGTTAACTTTAATATTAGTTTTTAAGCTAATGTTGATGTTATTTTTATTTTGATCTTGACTGAATCTTGATACAAATTGTGACCATGACATTACTCTTAATGTTACTCGTGGTTAAATCTTGATGCATTTTTATGAAAGTTACTATGATCTCGATGCGTTGCTTGATGATTGATGATGATATCTATTGCATATGATTGCTTGCTTGCTCATTCCCTTAGGGTACTCCCTCAAGTGATTGAATTCTCTCGTGATCAAGTAATGGTTAGATTAAGGAATCACGTTGTTGCATGGCAACATTAGATAGCTTCCCTTCTAACCCCAACTTTAGGTTAACTTTTTCTCATCCTCAACTATAGGACCATTTGACACGACAACAGTCAGGACCAAGTCTCCTATAGATCTTATGTTGCGTCTCTCTCTTCTCTTTCAAATAAATTCAAGATACTTAATAGATACGATGTGCATAGTGCGTCACGAGCCTTAAGCACATGAAAAAAGATGGGCGGATGCATTTCTAATATCATCTTAGAGTACTTTTTGTGCGAGACGTTTGGATCGTTAGCACGAAGTATTTGATCCTATGTCATAAACTTTAGTGCGATACACGTCATAAACAAAGTCAATCCACTTCTCTAAAATCCTTAAACAAACTGCAAATCATTTTGTCCTTCGGAATTTTCCTTCAAACATTTTCAGAAGGGGCATGTTACTTCTGTTCTACCGCAAACAGACCTCGTCCCTGATTGCTAGAACACGAACTTAGCATCGCTCATAAAAGACACCTAAGCAACCCGTGGTCGCCGAACTACGAACGCTCTGATTTCTTCATTCTCGCCTGAATGAAGATACGTAGGCACAAGACGGTGAAGTCTTGGCGAGCACAATCCCCCTTTTCAACCGTAGTCCTCCGAACTACGTTGACTATAACTTTTCCATTGCACGAGGGAATACTAGGCCTAGGATGGCGAAATTGTTTCGAGTCTCCTTTTACTTTTTTCGTCTTCGTTTTCCGTTAACAAGTAGACTTAGATAAATACACCATTTGATTAGAACAACAAGAGTGGATCTCGTTGAGTACAATGGACGTGAAGGGGTGTTAATACCTTCCTCTCGCGTAATCGACTCCCGAACCCAAGATTTGGTTGTGAGACCATACAATCCAATAGAAACAACAATGGAATAACCCCTCATGAAGTGACCCATCTTCTGACAAGTGGAGCATTTTACTCTTGACTTGTCAAACCTCTTTGATTTTGACATCTCTCTATTCTCACTTGCTCTTGAAACACTCTAACTTTCACCACTATCATTAATCTTCAAATCATTCACCTTTGAAATTTTTTTGAATCTCACAATCGTATAACCTTCATCCAAAATAATAATACAATCCTTAAATAAGGATATCTTTAAAATGTTCAAAGAATCTAGATAATGAGTTTAATAAAAATAGAGTTTTGTCCTCATCTACAATTTGCACCTCAATATCTCTAGATCATCAATTATTTTGTAAAACACTAATGAAAGTATCCATGGTTGTCCTAAAGAAGATAAAAATGAAGAAACAATTGTTGAGTTAATCCAAGAACTTCAAAATAAAGTTGAAAAAAAATCTCCTAAAAAGAAAGTAAGTCTAGATGAGAGATCAAGAGATTCTAACAAGCAGAGGAGAAGAAAGAAAGTCGGTTGAGAAAGACTTAGTTGATACATCAAAATCAGACATCAAAGAAAGTCGGTTGAGAAAGACTTAGTTGATACATCAAAATCAGACATCAGAACAGTGTTTAGATTAAGACATCAAAATTTGACATGAGAACAAGGTTCGTATCAAGTCATCATAAACAAAGGCTCAGACTATACATCAGAACAAAGTTTAACATAAGTCATCAAAAGCAAAATAAGAACAAGTCTTAGATTAGGCATATGAACGTAAGTTACTAGCTCTCCAAAAATCTAACTCATCTATAAATATTCAACTGCTCATATCTACATTTTAATGACATTAAGTATACACTCCATCACTTATACTATATCATTGAGTTTTTATCTTTATAAGTTAATTCAAAACCATACCCAATTCTAACTGAGTTGGATCAGATTCACACCATCTAATCATTTTATTATAAACTCCATTAATTCCTTTTAACTTGTAAAAAGAGACTAAGTGAGTAAGTGTTGAGTAGTTGAAGATGTTAAAAAACTTGTGAAAGCCTATTGAGGCATTAAGAATACAGTATAAAAGTTACAGTGAGCACAAGTTTAAAATAAGGATATTGAGAAGCATTCTAAAGCATAAGTTTAAAAACAGACAAACTCAAAATGTGTTTAACCCTTAAGGCTAAAAAGCAGATGATACTTAGAAGCCACTAAGCTTCTGCAAATTGAAGAAATTTAGAATATAGCTAAAAGGAAATATGAAAAGCAAAGAAGAGTAAAACTAGAATCAACTGTAAATTGCCATATGGTTAGAATCTGTGGACAAATACAGGTTTAAAAGGGAAACTTCTTAGAGAAGTAACCTCTACAACATAAAGATTCAAAATAAAATGTTCAGAAAAACTTTACAGAGAACACATAAGACTTCAAACCGATCGCTCGGTTGACAGCATACCAAAAATGTAACAGGAATTAGCTCCACCTTCTTGTAAATTCTTGCATAATCCAAAGAGCAAGCAAATCCAGACAAGGAACTGTGATGACTGTTGGCTTCTTTAGCAGTTTTTGCAGAAGGCAAGGGCGGGTAAGAATTTTCAATTGATAAACCAATAGACAAGAATAGGATTAGTCTGCATACATATCCATGGCAGAATCATTGTTGGAACTCGCAGCATTTGATTCCCTGCTTTGATTTTCATTTCCGGCAGAGACTCCTCCCTCACCAATTTGATAAAGCTGAAGATTTCGACGTACAGGGCTTGATAATGCATTTGAAAACACAGGTTGATTTTCACAAGGGTCAGAGCGGAATCCTTGGCCAGAAGATCCTGAAGTGACTGGAAAACCTGCAGCACTGGTGACTGGCATCATTGGCTGTGGCTGCTGGTGCTGCGGAGGTGCTCTAGGTGACATGGATGGCTCTTCTCCGCAATAATCCAACTCATTCTGCAAGTAGTAGAATGAAATTTCATACATGTATTTACTTATCTACCAAAAGCATGTACCAATAATTTTGAAGAATTGCATCCCAAAAATATCAAAAACAGTATCCCAATCGTACAAGTAATTGTTTTCTTTTAAAATTTAGAAAGATACTCCTTGGATCCATATCCAGGAGGATCATATGCATATCAGTATCAGATATGATATAACTGAATACAAAAATGAACATAACAGTGCCAATATCAGTTCTATTTTCCAAGAATTCTCAATCACAATCAGTGTTGACAATAAAAGATATAGCGGATAGAATAAAAATACAGTGTACACCAAAAAAATAACTAAGATTCTAAGAAATTAGTTATAAAATATTAAACATATACAAAGTAAATGTCTTCCTCAACCCCAAATCACATCATTTTATTTTCCATTAGTTTTTTTTTTTTAATTTTACTATCCACTTAGTAAAATGCCATTCAACAGAAATACAGAATTGAATTTGAATGAGACATAAATACATGTTACAAACAGAAAGAGTTGGAAAAAGAAAGGAGATAAAACACAAAAGTTAAAAATAAAGCAATGAGTGAATAAAGTGTGAAAATAATAACAGTATTTTAAAAACGAAGCAAAATAAAAATTAGTTTGATGAACCATAACTCCAATTAGGGATCGGGGAAGACATTCGCAAGAAATTTTATGACATGTCATAGGCGCCACATGAGATAGTTAACGGTCGTATCTGCTCACATTTAATGGAGATGAGTAGAGGGATGAATTTGTATAAAGTTTCAAAAATAAAGAACCAAAATGAATCTTTTAAAAGATTAAAAGTCAAAATGAATTTCGTGTGAACGATGAAATACCTGAAGTACATTTTAGCCTAAAAAGTAAGAATTAATGGAGAAAAAATAACAGCATAAAAGCAAAAAGAGATACGGAAATATAAAGAAAAAGAAAAGGAGGTAAAAAAGAATGGGTATTGTCACTGTAAATAGGTCTTACACTTGCATCCAATAAAAGGCCTCCATTTTTCCATGTCATACTATCAATTTCAAAATGTAATTACAAAAGGGAGGTGATATTGCAAGATAGTGGATTTTCATTGGATGTCTGATAGAACAGAGGTCTGATATAATACGATAAAGAAAAGTATTTTATTAATGACTATGAAAGTAAAATAAATTCCAGAGCTATTGCTCCTCAGTCAGAGAAACTATTCTCTCACTGCCCAAACCCTAAGGTCAAAAACAGAAAATCAATTAATGCCTCACTACTGCCCCATACACTCCTCTTTATATCGAGAATAATCCCTAAACTAACTCCTATTTATATGGAGAATAATACCTAAACTAACTCCTATTTATTTGTGGAGTTTCCTATTCTTTCTCACATATACCCTCCATTGTTTAGATCCAATAATATCTCTATTAACTAACACATTCCCATCATCATTTGTGGGATCCAATCCATTCCTATCATCACCCCCACCTACAACATTAGCCTTGTCCTCAAGGCGCAGATCAGGGAATTGACTCTTCAGCAATAGTTCCTCTTCCCAGGTAGCATCTCCAACATCCATCCCTTCCCATTGTAACACACTGCTGACCTTGGCAGGATCAACAGCAACCCCTGCTTTGGAAATGCTTTGGAAAGTAGCCATCTTATCATCTACAGCCTGACCAAGTAGTTTCACCATACTGCCTTTATGGTTGAACTCCATAGACATTTCTTTCCAATCCATGGTCACCTTCCCCAACGTTTCTAGCCACACAACTCCTAAAATCAAATCCGCACCTCCTAACTCCAACACATAAGCATCAAAGCAAATCTGCACTGATCCCACTTTCATCTGAATTCCATTGCATCTACCCCTAGTTAGGACACGATGACCATCTCCTAATTTAACACCCAAAGGATTAGAAGGCACCATAGACAATCCCAGGGCTTCAACCACCTTAGGTGATATGAAATTATGTGTGGCTCCACTGTCAATAAGTACCAGAATTAAGGCACCTTGTAAACATCCCTCCAATTTCATCCTCCGGACCTGATTTGGGTTAGTGGATACACCAACTAGCCCCATGGTTTTACATTCTAATTCCTCTTGTGTGAGCTCTTCTTCCGTCGCAGCCTCCAACACCACAATCTCTCCTGCATCGTTAACAATCTCGTCATCCCCCAAGATAATCAATCGTAACTGTCTTGTTGCACATTGATGGAGAGGATCCCATCGTTCGTTGCAACGAAAACAGAGTCCTTTCGCACGACGCTCATTAACCTCTGCACTTGGTAGATGACGAACACCACGAGATTGACGGCGTGAATTGTCACCTAAATTTGGGCGAGAAGATGCTGTAGAATTGGTAGGACGTGTTGAGACGGTTTGAGATCCAGAATCCGAACCAGTCCGCGTTTGGCCCAAAGAATTATTAGGCTGGGTCTGAGTTGCAGATCCGTTCCCTTCCCCTTCGCGAAAAGCCCAATTAGGCTTTTGAGATTTTGTCCAAGAACCATGACCTGGTTTGTAACGTGCTCCAGAACCTTGTCCAGAAGCCACTGCAAATTCACTTTCAACGTCACGAGCCAATTGCATTGCTAGGTAACGATTGCGAGGCTTGAAGGTACGCACACGAGAACGAATATCATGACGTAAACCACCAATGAAATAACCTAGAAACTGTTGTTCTGGCAAACGACCACACTGTGAAGAATACAGTTCGAATTCAGCAATATATTCCTCTACTGATTCCGATTGTTTTAGTTCCTTTAATTCCTCAAACGGATTCTCCAAACGCCCACCTCCAAATCGAACCATCATCGCCTCACGGAGGTTCTCCCATGACACTTCCTCTGTTGAATCATGCCATAGGTTAAACCAATGGATAGTAGGGCCTTCCATACTCAATTTGGTCAACTGAATACGAACATCCTGCGAAATTCGTTGTACCTCAAAGTATGTCTCTGCCCGAGTGATCCATGCAACCGGATCGTCACCGGTAAATGCCGGCAACTCCACCTTCTTCGCAGATAAACGAAACTCATCCAGCGGTGAGGAAACTGCCGCACTGCTTGGCTGCGGCACTTCACGATGAGCCATTGCACGTTGAATCTCAGCACCAATGAACTCTCGTAACGCAGCAATGCTAGCCTCAACACCTTCCAACCTTTCTTCCACTGCAGAAACACGGTCAGCCATCTTAGGAGCTTTGGGCATGAACAATGGTAGGTCGGACCAATTGATAGAACAGAGGTCTGATATAATACGATAAAGAAAAGTATTTTATTAATGACTATGAAAGTAAAATAAATTCCAGAGCTATTGCTCCTCAGTCAGAGAAACTATTCTCTCACTGCCCAAACCCTAAGGTCAAAAACAGAAAATCAATTAATGCCTCACTACTGCCCCATACACTCCTCTTTATATCGAGAATAATCCCTAAACTAACTCCTATTTATATGGAGAATAATACCTAAACTAACTCCTATTTATTTGTGGAGTTTCCTATTCTTTCTCACATATACCCTCCATTGTTTAGATCCAATAATATCTCTATTAACTAACACATTCCCATCATCATTTGTGGGATCCAATCCATTCCTATCAATGTCAGTGCAAAATATATTTTAAATCCAAAAAAGGGGGAGAAAAGAAAACAGAGTCGAGCGGAGGAATCATCGGAGAACAATCACTGATATAGATTGCAAGAAGATGGTATAGCCAAGGGGGGAAAGGACGAGAGCAATTAGAAATTTGTAGATACAGAAAGCTGAAGGTATCACATTCCTACAAATATTGAACATAGCAAGAGAAATAGAAAGATAGTTGTTAGTATTCTCTACTCTATAGTCTTTACTAATCACCAGTCCCTAGGGCAATTTGTACCATCTGAAGACAACAAGAAGGATAAAAACTTTCAAATAACACGAAACATGGAAAAAGACGGCTTTAATCCATGAGAATGAAACATGGAACAGAACAGCTTTATGCATGAGAACAAACAATATGGATTCCCCCACTAAGATTTTTAGCCAATTTCCTAATCAGGCCTTTTCTAGATAAATTAAATGTATTCTTACCTATTTCTTTCCCCTGTAATGTAAAGAGCTCAGTCCTAATCATGGGCGGCTATTGGCTTCCAATCTATAAAGTATTTTGTAAGGTTTGATTCCAGCAGCTTAAAAATGGCAACCAAAAGGGCAAACCCCGCCCACAATCACGTCAATATTCCATTACATTATTTTAAACTAATGGTATACAACCACAATTACAGCTGCAATATTATCGTTGGGGAGGTATCCAAAACCCACTTTTGTGGCTAACTCGGCCAAATTTTCCAAACAAACCTCAAAAAATAAGCAATTACATGCAATTGCAACCTAAGTTTAAAACAATTCACTGTTACAATAACGCATAATTTGAACTATACCAGCTTTGTGAAGCTGCTTCCCGTTCATATACTAAGAAGTGGAAATTTCTCCTCCACCTATATCAGTATATATTCTTATACTATGAATGTGTCAAAAAAAATACAACTTTGTGGCTTTAGTTAGTAACATGTATCAAACATGTATCATACCCAGATGACAAAGGTGCCTTTAGTTAGTAAGAAGTGTCAAAGATGTATCAATGAAAGTATTTTAAAAGTAATTTTAATTATTATAGAATACTCTTCGGGTAGCAATTGGAAAGTATCAGATGCATGTCTAACATTCCGTATCGTATGTTTGTTTCTTACATAGCTCTCCACTTCCAATCAACAGAAACACGTATAAATAAATGATATAATAATAATGTTATAGAAAACTAACCTGAATGTAATTAACAACATCAACTGTTCCAACCCTTGACCCTCCTTCTTCTTGTTTCCAAATCCATTGATAAAGTTTTTCCTGATATCATTAGAATATTCTACATTAACAAATTATCAATACATGGTTGAAACACCAAAGGTAAGAGCAAGTCCTAGATCCGATACATGAATATACTGAAGCAACCAGAACACTAGAAGTCCATGACCTATTGGATGAGGGGTTTGGGGGATTTAAAAAAATTCTTCGAACTCTTTTCATGTTAACACTTTTGAAATTAAAAACATATTAATCATATGCATACAATTACAAAAACACTCTCAAATGAAGTGGAGATTTATCTTTCTTTCCCTTTTCTCCCCCCTCCACTCAAAGCCCTCCTCTCCAAACTCTTAAATAGAACTTAAAAGTCTAAAACCCCGAAAAACGTGACAAATACCAAGTATTTGATTAACAACAAGAAAAGTAGGATTGAAAAAAATTACAACCACCACTTGAATCTATACATAGAACCAATTACGCCACACAAAAAGTGAGAAAGACTAAGCATTGAATAACCATGAACTGAATATGAGGTCAACAAGAAAGTCAAAACAAACACAACAAGAAGAAGAAAATGAAAATCAGTACTCAGCAAAAGAAAAGGACTAAAACATGCTAGAATAACTTAAATTCACAAATGTAGACATGCCAAAAGCTTCTACTACTTGCTCAAAATTATTCAAACTCTTCCCTGAATAATAGTTTCTTCCTATAAGTATAAGAACTGTCAGGCTTTCAAAATCCTTAGCAGAAAACAATACTGCAATAAATAACAGAACAAATGGCATTTTTTCCATCCAAAAAATCACTACTAACAGAAAATCAAGCAATGACGCATTGACACACTCTGTAGCACTGACACTGAAAAAAATGTGTGTTTTAGTATAAGTGTCCCCAAAACTGACATCATCACTGATTACGTTTAATTTATTCATTTTTTCAATTGTTGTCAACTTGTCAGACTCGGGGTCATGTTTCCGTGCTTCATAGTAGAAACACTCATAAAAATTACAAAATATATGAAGAAATAACACAACCCAGAAACTCTTCTCTACAATATGAGAAAATTCAACAACAGCATTTAAACAATTGTTTCATTAACATAATAACATTTTATTAGACCAACATTGCAACAATAAACACCAAATTAAACTTAAAAGCAACAAAATTTTACAACATTTAAACAAAAACCTGAATAAAAGCACAAACAAGTAAATAAATATTGCATTTTTATGTTAAAAAAATAAAAATTGGGGAAAATCAAGGAAAGCCTCAAAAGGAGATAGAATTCATACGAGGGCGTTGCGTTCACCGGCATGGAAGGAGAGTTTCTGGTGATTCATGGCGTGAGTGTAGAGTTGCGAAATAGAATTTGCGGTGGTACAAAAGGAAGCATACATGGTTCGATCCACTTCGTCGAGACTTGTGGCGGTGGACTTTCGCTTCTTTCCCATGGTTATCGGCGGAGATCGGAGGGTTGTTGGGTTAGGTCGGTGGCGAGGAGGATTGAAGAATGAGAAGAGAAGGGTTGATTGGGCTTTTTATGGAGAAAAGGAAAAAGGTTGTAAAAAGAAGGAGAGGGACTCATGGTAAGTATGTAAGAGAGGAGATGCATGTTATAATTGCTTTTAAGATGATTGAATGATTGACACAATCATAAATGGTAACTTTCCCTTTCGGCTAGTATTTTTAAATTGCAATCTAGTCCTTCAATTTCTAGAGAATTATTTTACAAAAGTAAAAACCTAATAATAATAATAGTGGGTCGGGGCTTGAAAAAAATACCGATATGATTGGAATTCGAAAAAATCGAAAAGATACGACTAACCAGTCAAAATGGGTGTCGGTTTTACCGTGTGGTAAAATTGAGTAAGGATAGTTACCATAGGCAGATTTGGTTTTCGAAATGCAACATAAGGATCTTCAAGTTTATTCGAGTGGATTTAATAGTTCAAATAGGTCAAAATGGGAATGGATCAGGTTTAGTGTGGGGTAAAATTGAGTAAGGATAGTTACTATAAGCGAATTTGGCTTTTGAAATTCAACTTACGGATATTCAAGTTTATTCGAGTGGATTTAATAGTTCAAAAATCCGAATTATAATATAAGATAGATATTCTTAAAGTACAAGTTTTTACACTTTCATTTTGGTAGAAATTCTCTTAATTTTGTAGAAGAAATCTACATTTTCTAAAAGAAATCGACATTTTTATTACTATAGTTATTGTGTGTAAATATCTAATTAATGTTACCAATTTTAAAATGATGTGCAATTCTATCATTTATTTAGTCTAAAATTATAATAATGAACATCTCAATTTCTTTCTTTAGAGTAATGAGAGGATCACAATCCCATTTAATAATTCTCGATTATAGAATATGGGGACGAGACGAGTTTGGATTTGGGTTTTAATTTTCTTTTGGGACGGGTTTGGGTTTTAATTTTCCATCCTCGTTTGGATTTGGGGAAGAAAACGGTGATTGTTTAGAGATTCCGGTTTAGGTTTGGAAAAGGTAAAAAAATGTCTTTGACTCGTCCATTACCATGCATATATGAAAGGTATATGTGGTTCTATGTGTTGTGCATGTTAAACCCTTTTGAGGTTTTGATGATTACAGCTGAACAAGATAAATTTAATCATAAGCATCATTTGACAAGAAATTATCAAAAAGTAAAGTTGATCAAGCTATAATCCTAAGAACAAAACAAGACAAATCAATTTCAAATAGTAGCATTCAAAGAAACTGAAGATGTGAAAGCTCGTTTGATTTCTTAAGTGTTTTAGCCTTTTTTATCAATTATATGTGAAATAAGCAAGAGTAAGTCGTGAAATACTAAAGTGATGCACACACTCTCTAAAACCTCTTTAATCTCTTCATCTATTTTCTCATTTCTTTTGGAAAAAATCAATCCTAGCAAGTACATAACTAATTAAGAAGCAATTCTGACCAAATAGAAAAACTAAACTTGTTGTATAGTTGATTAGAGCTTTTTTCGAATCGATTAAGGGGGAGTTTTCCTCCTAATTGATTAAGAAGCAAATTAATCTATTAATGAGAAAACTTGAATTAAGGTTTCCTTTTATGATTTAGTATAATCGATTAGCTTGTCGTTTTTAATCGATTAAAGAGAGGTCAGGCTCATGGATTATTGTCTTTTTTAGTTAAATTTGTTTCATGTATAAATGAGTGATATTCTCACTTCTAAAGTACAAATTTTCTGAAATATCTATTATCTTATGTCCCTTATTCTCCTTCAAAAAGAAATTGTATTTACTACACATTGTTTTAGTGTTGAGAGAGTGGGAAGCTTACTTGGAGAGCTGTGTAATTTTGTTGTTGGGCTTAATTTTTTTTACTTAAGACTTTAGTTCTCTTGTACATTTGTAATTGACTTGGAGTTTGCAAGCTAAATCAATAAAAAATCTAGGTATAAGGAAGGTTATTGGGTTGAACCTGTGTAAAAATTTAAGTTGTTGATAGTGGAAATCTCAATAGGAGACTTGACTAGAGTAAGATGTGTGGTTTAAGACTGTTGTACCCCAAAATTTGACCAACCGTTTCTTGTACTTGGCTTATGTTTTCTCTTCATTTTGCATTTTTGCATAGCATAGCATTTGATCTTGAGACAGGGGATCAAGATTTTCGTGTGGCTCAGAGTTTTCTTTGGTGCGAGAGACCAAACAACGAGCATCGACTCCGACATTTATTTTGCCCAGCGATCGAGCGGTCAATTTTATTTTATTTTACAGGATATTTTCAGATCAAGAGGCAGCATTCAGGCTATCATTCTCATGGTTGTAGTATTCAAGAGCAAGTTTCAGAGGCTGAACAGGGCTTAGAATGGAAGAAAATGAACCAATGTGCATATTTCCCTCCAAAAGACGCCAAAATTCAAAATTTAAAGGTGTTAATCGATTAACCCAAAGGGTTAACCAATTAACTAAGGCAAAATCAGAGCAAATTTGAATTTTTCAAGGGTGTTAATCGATTAACTTAGATGGTTAATCGATTAACCAAGGCAAATTTCTGCTCTGCACGTGAATTTCCAATAGAAGTCACTTTGGGGTCCATTTTGATCACTTGTGAAGTTGATTTTACACCAAAGGAAGGATCTAGAACCACTTCGAATTTTGATTAGTTTTCAAATTAATTCACATTCCCTCCAATTTCCCATTCCTAATCCCATTCCAATTTTCAAACACCACACTCCAAAGTACATTTGGATCCAAACCAAGAGCATATTTAAATGATTTGCTCCAAACCTCACACACACAATCCTCAGAATTCCATTTCATTTTCAGAATTCACTCTCACTCTTGAATTTTGCTCTCAACTTTTCCATCTCCCAAACTCCATTAAAGCTCTCCTCACCTTGAATTCTTTGATTCTCCATTGAAATCATAGAATTCTAGAGCTATAACCTTCATCCTTATAATATCCAATTCTCCATTCAAATTTCATGCTATTGTGGATCTGAATTTTGAAGTTGATATAGAGGAGTTTATTTGGATAATTCTTGCTTAATTTTGGTGGATCTTCATTTCTACTACAAGAACTCACTTGGATCTTGAAGAAATTCTGAATTTCTAGCTCGGATATGCTCAATTCAAGTGAATCAACACTCACCAAAGCAAATCTCCGCTTTGTAGGTTGGAAATTCTTGATCTGATTCTGTTTTTGAGCTTATTTGCATAATCATCATGTTGATCTTCATTTTCGATTGATTTTGATTTATGTGAATCGAGATCTTGATGTTTGAATGTGTTTACATGTTGATTGGATCACTGTTTTCTGGTTTAAATTCATGCATAATTGATTATGTAATCATCTGGATTACTGGAGAAGTGATTATTTGCTGAAAGTGCTTTTGAGCTGCTGTTTTCTGCTTCTGGTACAGTGTTAATCGGTTAACCAGTTGCAGTGCAAACTGGTTAATCGATTAACCAATGTGAATTTTCAAATTTTCAAACATTTTTAACTGGTTAATCGGTTAACCATATGTGTTAACCGATTAACACTGAACCAGAATTTCATGTTTGCTGTTTTTGAGCTTGTTTTGGGTATCATTTCACTTTGAGTCTTCATGGATCAGTATGATGCATTTAAGTGAGATGTTTTGGATATTGTGTTATTGTTCTTGATTGTTTAATCATGATTTCTTCGACACGAGTGTTCGATTTCCACTTGAATGTATACTGTTCCGGTATGGGCCTCACCTCGGCAGGCCCAATACCGCATGTGGCCCAACAAGCGAACCGGGCACGCCAGCACGCGCCCTTCGAGACGAGCAGGGGCAGACCGCCGAGCACAAGCTACATCTCCACACCCTTTTTGTCGTCCACCACGCCGGACGAGCAGAACCACCCGGGCTCCTCTCCGCGGGGAGAATAACGTGCTCGACGCACGTTCTCCACGTGCTCCCCTCCGCGGGGAGAATAACGTGCTCGGCGCACGTTCTCCACGTGCTCCCCTCCGCGGGGACACGTCACCGGCCAACTGCCCACCTCCGAAAGAGCAGGTCAAACCCACTTTCCGGAGATCTAGGAGCGGTTGAACTAGGGCGAAGACCACGTCCTGGTCTTCACTACGCCACGTAAGCGCTAGCAGTCATTAGGGTTGGGCCTGGTCATCCAGCCCACCTCGAATGACCGTTGGCCCAGCGCTGGGGTCTCTCTATAAATACCCTCTTCTTCAAGAGGGTCAGGTAACTTTTCTTGCCCCTTTTCTGTACTATTGCTTCCACTCTGCCCAACTTCTTACTTTGGCATCGGAGTGTCTTGCAGGTACACCCCCCTCCTCTTTCTCACCCCGGCGAACAGGTAGCAGCCCAACGGAGTGTGGCCAGTCCGTGATCCCCTCCTGATCAGGTCAGATCAGTGGCGCCGTCTGTGGGAACCTGAAACTTCCCCGTTACTCCGAGCAGAAAACCAAAAGTTTCACCAAACCTCCACGGTCATGGCCAGCCCACGCCGCGATGACACTCCGCACGACCTTGCGCTCAACACCGCCACCAACGGGAAGCAGACAGGAACAGCACGTCTGACGGGAGCCGACGAAAGGGACGGGCAAACTGCTTCACCATCATCCGAGGAACGGCCCATACAGGCCGACCACCGCCCCCCGAGCCCGCCAGCATTCCACCCTGTTCGCATCCCGGCGGGAGCAGACCCGACGGTGGCCGCTCTCTTCACAGCTATCAACCAGACGAACCAGCTGCTGTTCCAACAAAATGCGAGAATTGGGGCATTAGAACGCATCGACCCTCCGAGATACCCCCAGCGGGAAAACCAGAACGGAGATTCGAGGAGCCCCTCACCTCGACCCAGGAACCGCCGACCACGGCTGGAGAGACACCGCCCGCAGGTGACGCGAGAACGCACCAGATCCCCGGCGAGACACGGTCGCAGAAGGAACCAGAACGCCGCGGCAATCCCAACCGAGGAACCACGAG